TAGTCTATCCAAGTGTTGCAATGTCATTCAACCCAAATGGACCATGCCAACCGGGTCAAGTACATCCCATAAATAGTTATGAACTTAGACACCTAATCCAACAGAAGGCGCCAAGGCCGACCCTTGATTGACTATATTGATATACTTGTTGTCTGTGTGATACTTGTATGTACTTGTATATGTATGTTTATTGGGAGGGGCCCATATTGTGAGTGTGGACGGGGCCGTTATAGGAGTGTGGGCGGGCCCGTTATACGAGTGTAGGCAGGGCCCGTATCTCATTGGCGGGGCTCATTATGCCAGTGTGGGCGGGGCCCATATCTCTTTGGGCGGGGCCCGTTATGTGATATGTTTGGTATGCGGTATCTTGGGGAACTCACTAAGCTTAGTGCTTATGGTTTTTAGTTTATATTTCAAGTACTCCCGGTTCCAAGGGGAAGAGCTCGAGTTGACTGCATCGAACACACCATATGGATTCTGTTTATGAGACATACTTTGATTTTCATGATCTATGACATATTTATTAGTGTCGGATGTATGAACAATATTTGGAATACTATTTTTACTTAAATGAAAAACGAAATTTTTAGGTCATAATTTTTGGATCTTATAAGCGTATATAACTCCTGCTCCCAAAATTTACCATTTTGCCACTAGAGCTTCTTAGGGCTACATCCTGACAATCCAAGGACTACAATGACATAATTTAAACCAAGAGATGAATTTGAGGTTACCTGAAAACTAGTGTGTTAACTACACAAAATGGGATCACATAGACTGTCGAATAATGATTCTACCCTAAATCCACAATCAAACAAGGAACAAGAAATGCGGCTAAAACGATCGGCTATATGAACCTAATCGTATACAACTTTTAAAGCATACACTTAAAAAATAACTGAGTTAATATCAATTCCAAGTAACACATAACAACCAATCCTCCTAGGCTATAAGGCATCACACAAGTTAGACAAGTTTATCATATGATTCCTGAAGGTGTCGTTAGCCCTATTCTAGCATGCAATTCACATATCAGACATACTAATCATAACACATATGTATGGGTATTTTGGGAATCACTTACTTGAGCTCGGATGATTGTATGCATCGCACCCCTTCTTACTTGGTAAAAAACATCTTTTTAGATATTAAATTCTCCTTTTGAAAATATTATCATTACCTTAGTTTGAGTTCAGGCACACCCGAGAGTGTGCCCGAATCCCTTAAACCTGGATCTGATACCAACTTGTAACATCCCGAAAGCAGTGATAAAATTAATCAATCAAAAAATATACTATTAAAACATCAGAGTACAAATATCCAAATATTGCAGAAATCAAGAGGGGGATGTTGTGCCATCATGCTGGGCCTTTCTCTATCATACCAGAAGTACCTGAAAACATAAACATAAACTGTAAGCACAAAGCTTAATGAGCTCCCCAAAGTACCACATACCAAACATACAATTGGGCCTATCCATGGGGTATATTCCAACCCAATACACAATCATGGGCCTACCCTTGGGGTTTCTTTCAAGCCATCATATACTCATGGGCCCAACCCTGGGGTGTATTTCAACCCAATCATATAAACATGTACGAGTCACATAACAACTAGCACTCTACATAAATAATTTGGTGGGCCAACATTAGTGCCTTCAACCCACAAGCATAGTGAGAACACTCACCTCTAACTGAAGATAACTGAATCATACACTCGAGCTGCTGTTATCACGGCTCCTTACACTAATCAAAACCCAAAGATAACCCTAATTAATAACCAGGGTTTAATCCATAATCAATGGTCCGTATCATAATTTATCTTACCAAGGGGAAAAGTCCATTTTGCCCTTCCCATGCATGACCCAAAATACAAGGCCCAAAACCCCTAACGACCCAAAGCCTAAAAATGACCCAAGTAGGTTTTCTGGGAGTATGCCTTGCATACTACCTTTTACGCCAATGTACAACTTTGACTTGGAAGGTTTACCGGGCAACAACATAGTACATCCGACGTACTCAAGGTTACGCCCAACGTACACTTCAGACGTCTAAATTATCTGTTAAGGTCTTAATGCTTTAAAACTTAACGTCCAAACTTTAGATCTTACTCTAATAAACACCTAAAATCATAAAGTTGCAACCTTTATGCCTTTTCATGGCTACAATGAGTCCGAAATCCAACCCTAAATCTTATTCATGACTAAAAAGCTTAATAGATCTATCAAGCTTGATTGGGAAAGATCAAGATCCCAAATTTTATGAATTACATGACTCTTGAATGAAAAGAAACACTCTTCATTAGGTCCAGAGTTACTCAAACTCCCAAGATCTAAGGCTATAGGACCAAAATGAAAAAATATTCTTACTATACAGCTAGATCTAAAGAAATATGAATCAAGTCCAAAGCTTTGTACCTTTTGGAGGTGCAAAAAGATGTGTAGATTATGGATCCAAAAGCTTGACGACAAGACTACTTCTCCAAAGATCTTCCTTCACCACCAAGAATCACCAAAATATCACTCAAGAGCTCCAAAATTCACATACAAGAATAGGGTTTTGAGATAGGGGCTGAGAGGAGTGGAGGATGGTTATAAGAAAGTCCAAGGGGAGTTAATAACCTTAAATAGGGGTCACACCCCGGATTTTAGGGTTTTAGGACAAGCTCAAGTACGCCCAACGTACCTCCATGTACGCTCAACGTACTCGCCACAATCCGCGATCTATCAAGAGGCTTACGCCTGACGTACACTCTATGTACACTCCGTGTAAGGGTCTGATTGCAAGGAAATAAACTTTTTAGGCTGAAAATGAAAAATACCGGGAACGGGTGTTACAAATCACATCAAATGAGACATCACTCTAAGTCAAGATCTCAAGTCCAAGGTCCTTAATGACAACTTTAATGCATGTAATCATCTATTAAGTACTTAATTCATAATGTCTTGAATCCAAATCTTCTAGGAGGGCTTTAGGGACCCTAATGGCCTATAAAAGTGAAAGCTTTATGTACATGCATGCCCCGTGCATGTCCTTTCCTAAACCTCGGTCAAAAGACGAAATATGACCAAAAATCCATAAAAGGCCCCCAAATCACAAACACATCCTAGAACTATGAAACAATATGCTCTTGGGACACAAATATATCATAAAAGCCTTTATCTCTTCAGCCCATCCCATCACCACAAATGGGGCCAAAAATGGAATAAAGCTTAGAGCTAAGTGGCATGAAGTCAAAAGATAAGAGATTTAGGACTTTCAGAAGTCCAAAAGCTACATACAATGATGCTGAGAGATTATTTGGAGGAATTAGGCGCCACAACTTCTTCTCCGTCATTCAAAACCACCAAGACTTGCAAGAATGAGCTCAAAAGCTTCAAGGGAGCTAGGGTTTGGCCAAGGGTCGTTTGAAGGTGAGGGAGACTAAGGGTGAAGGAAACCATAGCCCCTCACATCCTTTAAACACAAGTCCGAGTTCGAAATTAAGGTTTTGCATCTAATGAGTTGTCACGTCGTGACCCATAGAGTGCCACGTCGTGACACTCAAAAGACCCCCCCGAAGAACATGGCCTTGTCACAATGTGGAGATGCTTCCCTCACGCAGTGAGCCTTTCAAAACCCCAAATTTGGTTTACATATTCATACCTTAATAATCAGGATGTTACAAAACACACAATTTTACCAAACTTTAGGGTACGACACTTCAGTAATTTGCTCTAATATATATTATGTAAGATCTTCTTGTTATATAGTTGTACTATTTTTATATAAAATAAAATGTATATTATACTATTTGATAATTTATACCAAAATGTTAACTTCTACTTAGTTAAATTATTGCATTCTATTTCTCTTTTTTCGATATAAAAAAAATATTTATGGATTTTAAGATAATATAATAAAGCATTGAAAAAAAAACATGTTTCCCGATATATTGGGTTTTGTATTTTCTCTTGATCAAACATCGGGCCTGGAACTTAAAGCTTTGCTGGTTCAGGGGTGTTTGGGATTACTTTTTAAGGTTAAAAGTCGTTTTTATAAAATGACTTTTTGAGTGCCGACTTTTTTCAAAAGATTTTTTTTAAATATATTTCTATTAGCTTTAAAGGAAAAAGCCAACTTTTCCTTGTATGTAAAAAAAATATTTTTACAAGATGTTTTCCATTAACTAAACATCTTTGGCATTTTTTTAACTTTTTGAAAAAGTTAAAAACCAAAATTTGTTTTAAAAGGAATGCCAAACACGCTGACTACACAGAAAAATGATGAGCTTCAGTCGGTGATGGTGATTTGTGATATCAGGTAAAAGAGAAACCAGCAATAAAAAGCCCCAATTCCAGCCAACTATTGACGATATTAATCTCGGTAACCTCTTTCTCAAACATTATTATTTTCTTGTAAACTTACTCCGTTTTCCGAATTTCATGAAGTTTAACCTGTGTACATTGGTTACTTGACGCTATGTGAGACTTACTTTGATTTTCTCTTCATATTTTATTTTCAATTGTATAATTCTTATAGATTCTCATCGTTTCCCATAATATTCAGTTAGCTATAAATGAATGAATCCAAACTAGTTTTGTTTTCTTGATGTTTCTCTTAGATTTGAAGATCAGAACCAATAATCGAGAACGATGATTCTTATTTGTGCTGTCTCAGTCTCCTAGAGCATTTCTTACGTTATAAAAAAGTAAGACGTCTCACTCGCCCTTTAGGCCCACCAGCCCACCATCGTCCATTAGAATTGTCCCTCTTTTACAATATTGAGTCAGCATTGCATTCCTTTTACGTTATTGAGTCAATCAGTGCATTCTTTAATTTCTACATCATACCTTCTTCACTTGCCATGGAATTTCCATATTCTAAAATGATAATATTATAATTAAATTTTCTTTTGGTTTTAATTTTATGAACTATTTGAATGTGAAACTAAAAAAAAAAAAAACAGTTACAGATATTGTTAATAATAAAATTACTTTACTTTTTGTTAACAAGTAAAAAATGACTATTGTAATGGTTGAGTTGTCAGAGTTTTTTTTTTGGCTCTTGAGTCTGGTATGAATGTGAGATGGTTGTAGGAGAGATGGAGAGCCGTGAATGTAAGACAACCTGATCATATGAACATGTAAATCTTGTGTTCTTTATTTCTTCCATATCAGTTAAATGTGTGTGTGTGTGTTTGTCAATCATAATCATAAACATTAATCTACATAAACTATAAATATACAAAAGAGGTTTCGAAAAATAAATTTATTAGGTTTAAATGAAATATTTTCTTCTCATATTGTATTTTTCACTATATATGGTTATTTTGATGTGCTTGATTTTGTATAATGAAAATGACTTAAAGAGGGATGAAAATTGATGATGGTTGCAAAGTGCTATATTTAATAAGTATATAAAAGTAAAAATAATAAAAAAAAAAAAAAACTGAAACTTCACTCATTAAACTAAAGGTGGGTATCTAGATTGAGCCCGGACGGGATTGTCGGTCAAACAGAAACATCTGGCTCACTGGCTGGACCGACAGTCGCCAAGTCGCAAGCGGTTCGAAAGAACCATTACATAGTCATTATATTCTTAATTAGACCCAAATTGCCATATCCCTATTTCATGGATTGTTACTCAATTTGACTCCTTGTCATCATTTTGTTTTTTTAGAATTATATAACATAATTTGAATGACCAAAAAATATCACAAGATTGGAAAAGATATTTGTATTAAATAAATATTGCCAAGACTTGTAAGTCTTTGAACGTCTACTGTGGACAAATTAAAATTTCATGGAAAGTAAGTGTTATATGCCCCACACAAATAGGCCACCATCCACTTTAATAATCCATTTTCACAGTTATCACTATATAAACCTTCATAGGGGCAACTTCGTACATACATCAACAAAAACAAAAATCTGTATTTACATGATGCATTCTTGTGTTTTTTATAATTTTCTCACTTCTCTTGTTACACATTGAGAATACAACTGCCAACCAGTTGGTAGCACCGGAAGAAAGAGGAGGAGGAGATGATAATGGTGTTATCACAAACAAGTGTGTGGATAAGGAGAGACATGCTCTCCTTCAATTCAAAGCAAACCTTCATGACCCTTATGGAAGTCTCTCTAGGTGGAGAGATGATAAAGATGACTGCTGTCAATGGAGAGGAGTCTGGTGCGACAGCCAAACAGGTCATCATGTCACAGGGCTTGATATTCCCTCCGCTGGTCTTGTAGGTGAGATTAGCCATTCATTGGTTAACTTAACCTACTTGAATCATCTTGACCTTTCTTATAACTCTTTTCATGGAACCATTCCCACCTTCGTTGGTTCTTTGACTCGATTAACGTACCTTGACCTTTCAAATAACTCTTTTTATGGAACCATTCCTCAAGAGTTCGGAAACCTCACCAACTTGCAATACCTTTACCTTATAGATGTTGGCATATGTAGAGTGGAAAACATAGAGTGGTTGTCTCATCTCTCTCACTTGGAGGAACTTGAAATGGATGGGATTTCCCTTGCCAAAGCAAACCAATGGGTAAATGAGATTTCGAGTCTCCCAAAACTATCATTGTTAACTTTAGCGGGGGATGTGAGCTTTCACAGGTCATGTATCCAAACTCTTCATTTCTCAACTCTTCTTCATCTATTTCTTTCCTGGATGTCCAAAACAACAATCTCAACTCATCCATGCATGGTTGGTTGTTCCCATTAACCAGCAATAAGCTTCGTGTTCTTGATCTCTCTGGAAACATGTTAGATGGGATACCCAAATATCTTGGTAACCTCTGTAGTTTGGCATTTTTAAATCTGAATGACAACTCTGCAGTTGTCAATTTCCCAGACTTTCTAAACAACTTGTCTGGATGCACATCGCTTGCATTAGTAGGGTTGCATGCTTCTCATAGCCAATTTACAGGGTCATTGCCTGATGACATCCACAACTTTTCATCCCTATCAAAACTGTGCCTATCAGATAATCACATGAATGGAACCATGACCGAAAAATTGTGGGAACTACCCAGCCTTGAAAAGATTGATCTTTCTCAAAATCATCTTAGTGGTGCCATCTCTAAAAACATTGGAAAGTCCAAGGCTACTTTTATAAATCTTTCAAAAAACCCACTCCAAGGAGTTCCTTCAACAGATCATATGTCAAACCTTTCTTATGTAGAGCAGCTTGATCTGAGCTCTTGCAAGCTAGGGCCTCACTTCCCCAAATGGATTCAAAAACTGGAAATCTTACCCGTCTTGACATTTCCAACACTAGTATTTCAGACACAGTTCCTCCAGAATTTTGGAGCATGCAATTAATCTATTTGAATCTCTCTTCCAACAACATCAGTGGGGAAGTACCAGATTTATCATCAAGTTTTTCCGGCACTGAAATGATAGATTTGAGTTCCAACAGCTTTAATGGTCCGATACCACATCTTCCTTCCAGTTTGGCAGCGATAAATCTTTCCAGAAACAAATTCTCTGGAGGAATCTCCTTCTTATGCCAAATTGTCAATGGGCTTTTACAAGTTCTTGACCTCTCCCATAACTTTCTAAGCGGACAGCTTCCAGATTGTTTGTGGCATTTCAATCATCTGAAAATTCTTAATCTAGGACACAACAGTCTATCTGGAAGGCTTCCTCCCTCTATTGGATCTTTGATAGAACTTGAGGTGTTGTATTTATACAAGAACAACTTCTCTGGACAATTGCCTTTGTCTCTAAAGAATTGCACGAAGTTAAACTTCTTGGATTTGGGGGGCAAACAGATTTTTTGGTAATGTGCCTGCTTGGATTGGGGAAAACTTATCGGGGTTGTATGCTCTTATCCTAACATCAAACAACTTCTTTGGAACCATCCCTTTACAAGTATGTCAATTACCGAATCTTCAAATTTTAGACTTATCAAGGAACAATCTTCATGGAAGCATCCCCTCATGTTTGAATAATCTTACAAGAATGGCTCAAGAAGGATTCTTACTGCCACCAAACGTGCATCCCTATACAAGTCGATGGTATCCACATCCCGCTAAAGATGAGCCATATGAAGAGTATGTTGACCATGCGATGATCGAGTGGCAAGGAGATGAGCGTGAATTCACCCGTAATCTAGGATTGTTGAAGAGCATTGACCTGTCAAGCAACAATTTAACAGGACATATCCCACATGAACTCACCAATCTTCATGAACTTCTTGCCCTGAACTTGTCAAAGAACGCTCTACTTGGAGAGATTCCACAGCAAGTTGGTGAGATGAAAAATCTTTTGACTTTGGATTTATCAAGAAACAAATTTTCAGGGCGGATACCATCTAGCATTTCTAAGATGAGTTTCTTGAATGACCTAGACGTGTCATTTAATAACTTGGCAGGGAGAATCCCATCTAGCACACAACTTCAGTCCTTTCCACGTTCAAGATACGTAGGAAACGGAAGACTATGTGGACCTCCACTTAGCAAGAAATGTCCTGGAGATGAAGAATCACAAGCACCATCAGTCGTTGGTAAAAGTGAGGGTGATGAAGTTTGGGGATGGTTCTATATTGGTGGGGGGACTGGTTTTGTTACTGGATTTTGGATAGCATGTGGGGCTCTACTTCTCAACCGTCGTGGGAGGCATGCATTTTTTCGCTTTTATGATAACTTCAAAGACTGGGTTTATGTGAAGGTGGTGGTGTTCATTGCAAAATTGCGGAGGATTGCACATATGTAGTTGTCTATATTTACTTCTTCTTTCCTCTTTTATATGTTTTATAAACCTATTAGTGTTCTTAGTTGGGACTAGGGGTATAGTAATGTAAGACCATGTTTCACTTATATTTGGCAGGGTTTTTTAAGTCTCATTTAATTTATCAATAAAATTACCACCAACACCATGGGTGGCAATTTCCCGTTGTGTGGAATGAGACATTTTGAAAAGTTCATTATTTCAGTATCTACTTATTATTTTATTAATTTATTTTATCTTTTAACCAATTCTCAATGTAAGTTATTTGCAAAATTAGCACTTGAAAGATGATCAATCCTTATATACTTGTCACTATCAGGCGTCTTTTTATAGGTTATTTGCAACAAAATTGGAGAAGTTCCTTTGACACATTATGTAGTCTAATTAAGGATAAGATGCAATCTATGAGCTCTAAATTTGGGGGTTTCAACTGAGATTTCTTTTTGCACAAACTTCAATCTACAATAACCCGACTCTAAATTAGATTTATACAAACACAGTTCAAAAATTGAGTTATAACGTGTTCGTAATGCCCTCTGTTTGTACTATCTTACAAAAACACGTTTTCAATTATAGTAGGCTGTCTTAGTCCTATTGTAACACCGTAAAAATTAAAACAATTTTTCACTTTTGAAAAACACATTTTTAATTAAACCATTCATTCTCAAAATGTCATAACATCAAGTTTTCAAATCACAAATGTCTCCCAAGATCAAAATACATCCAATCCCATATGTGTGTACGAATCAAGCCGGCGCCTTCCCGCGGTCATCACTGGTACCTGAAACACATAACACTGAACACTGTAAGCATAAGCTTAGTGAGTTTCCCCAAAATACCACACTAATCACATAATAGCCACTCGAGGCTGTAACTCTGTTGACCCTCTGGTCAATGTGTCTCAGTGGGGCCCTCCAGCCCCAACTCTCTGTGGGCCCTCTGGCCCTAACTCTAGGGACCCAAAAGTCCCAACTCTGTAACTCTGAATCATGCATGTCAGATATCACAACAAATCACAATACATAATAACATGCAATCACACTAGCATATAACTCTATAATACTCTGTCTCTTAACTCTATTACCACACTAGGTAAATTATAGTGAGAAGACTCACCTCGGGTATCTCGGTAAATATCTGTCTCGGAATAAATGTGATCTAGCCTCCGCCTAATCACACAAAGTAATACACCCATAAATACAACTGAACTCAACCCTAAAGGTCAACAAGGTCATCGGTCAACTTTGACCGGACTCGGCGAGTGCACTAGGGCGACTCAGTGAGTCTATACGTGTCCACTGACTCCCTTGGATCCTCTCTTGACACGTCGAGTACTTCCCTAACTCGACGAGTTCCACCTGGCATGAATCGCGGGGCCACCACGACTCAACTCGCCGAGTCTCAAGAACAACTCGGCGAGTTCCGGCTTGACTCAGCCCCCCTTGACTCTCCCTGACTCACTGAGTCGACCCCTCAACTCGGCAAGACCACTCGCTGAGTGGTTCCGGGTAAACTTCATGCTACTCGTCGAGTCTGTTCTTCATACTCGGCGAGTCCATGCCATGCATAAACTCAAACTCACTTCTGAGGTCAGATATGTTCCATACAATCATAGATCTGGCCTCCCCAGGCATGATAATCACGTAAAGTCCAAACCTTGGTGCTCAAACAACAACTATTTGCTCATAAATGATGTTTTAGCCCCATATCTCATAACTCTAGGCCAATACTCTCATGAACCCTCATAAAGCTTAAGGAATAAAGCTTCTCTGGACCTCTATGGATCTTATCTCAAGCCTCATCACAAATAGGGACGAAATGGACATCAAATCTAAACAACAAAGGGGTCAAGAAACCCTAAACCCCCATGTTCATCATAACAACAGAAAAGGGAGCCAAAATATACCTCCAAGATGATGCTCTGAGCTCCAAAATCGAAGGATGTCCACCTCCCTTGCCTTCTCTTAGCTAGAATCTCATTTGCCTTGCCAAACAAAGCTTCAAAGGTCAACAATGGCCTCTTCTCTCTCCCAAACGCTCAAATCTCTTTAGGGTTTCTCTCTAGGGGTTGGTGGCCGCAAATGACGGCCATAAGCCCCTTTAAATAGGTCCCAAACCCTGGAAATTAGGGTTTCATTAAACAGCGTGGACTCGCCGAGTCCACTTTTGGACTTGCCGAGTCCAGACGCGAACCCGCGCCTAAAACCGCGATCCTACTCGGCGAGTTTGGACTCCAACTCGCCGAGTCTCCTCACAAATCACCAAAAATACAAGAATAAATAATACCTGGGAATCCGGGGTGTTACACCTATTTATCGATTTGGATCAACTGCAATAGTCATTAGCATAGATACTGTGTGTGACTTCTATTTTCTGATTATGAATAAATCAGAAAATCAACTCCTATTTTCTTTTTTCTAGTTTTGCAGATTTTTAAAGATATTGTATGTGATTCTTGATGTTGTAGCCTTGGCTGCAACTTTCAGTTCAAAAGTTAATAAATTTATGTCGTACATGCAATCTTATTTCTTTGAGTACAACCGATTGATTGACAAATCATGCTGTAATATATTGTTTGATACTATGCAATTCATAGACTAATGGAGTTATGTTATTATTTCGTTGAAGCCTTTCTTTATTGAAAATTATGTTATCCGTTGTCTTTTAATCTCAGTTGATGAATATTGATCAGGTGCTCTGCTAGGCATATGTGAGGCATGTATACTTCAACATACCAATGAAATCAGGTTCCTTGGTTTCTCCTTAATTAAAATTTGTTTTATTTGCATTTATATATAAAAAAGTTAACATGTTACCTGCTTGATTAAGAACTGGGCTTTATATGCCTATTAGTTGCAATGCAGAAAACAAGGCCCTGTTAGAGTTTCATATGGAATTATTATTATAACCTACATCATAGTTGTTCGGTTATACTATTCAATTTAACCGGGCTATAGAGTCCATTTTGTAGTAGTATTTAGATTATAAATTAAAAACACCACACCCATTATTGAAAATTAAAATTAACTAGTATTTAGTCGTAGCGGTGAACACCTTTAAAAAACCAAACACAATTGTATAAAAAGAAGTTTAAATCCAAACAATTATTTATGGAGGAAACGGGAAAAAAACGTCCGAAAATGTATTTTGTTTGGTACAACAGCACAAATGATAATTAATAAAAAAAACTAAAAAAAATAAATAAGGGACTAAAAACACAATTTTAAAATATAATAAGAGACTAAAAACGTAATTTATAAAATACTAAAAATTTAACTTTAAAATTATGAGGATAAAAACTGTTAGATTAAAATATTTAAGGGTAAAAAATGTAAATATGAGATTCTATTATGTCCAAAATTAAAATCTCACTTTCTATGTATACTATGTTTTTGAATTTTATATTTTATACTTTGATTCTTGTAATATAACATGCTTTTAATTTTTTTTACTCTGGAAAAAGTTATGCTAATGAATAGTAACTTCTCACAAATATATATATATATATATATATATATATAGAGAGAGAGAGAGAGAGAGAGTTAAGTTCAAATGTTTTCACTATGTATTGTGTGCATGTATGATTAATTCTGGACCAATCATTTTAGTTATTTTAAGAAAGTAATTAATGCATATTAAATGCTGAAGATGTAGTTAATATCCATTATATCTTCAACATGTAATATGCATTAATTATTTATTTAAAATAACTAAAATCATTGGTCCAGAATCAATCATACATGCACACAATATATAGTGAAAACAAAATAACCTAACCCTATATAGAGTTATATATATAGGGTTAGGTTCATGTGAGACGGTCTAATTTTGTGAGACCGTAAGACGCATTTTTTTATTTATTTTTTATTTTTTTTAGTTAATTCAAGTTCCGAAAATAATATTTAAAAAAAGAATTTTTGGATTTTTTCATTTATTTTGCATTTTAAAATTATTTTTTAGAATATGTACAGTGTAATATTCTATTAGAATATTTTACGTAATTTACAAAAAAAAATGGAATTTTTTTTTATTATTTTTTATTTTTTTTTAGTTAATTCAAGTTCCGAAAATAATATTTAAAAAAAGAATTTTTAGATTTTTCCAGTTATTTTGCATTTTAAAATTATTTTTTAGAATATGTCAGTGTAATATTCTATTAGAATATTTCACGTATTTTACAAAAAAACGGGATTTTTTTTTATTTTTTTTAGTTAATTCAAGTTCCGAAAATAATATTTAAAAAAAAAAGAATTTTTGGATTTTTCCATTTATTTTGCATTTTAAAATTATTTTTAGATTTGGTTTCACGGTCTCACAAAATTAGAATGGTCTCAAATGAACTTGAACCTTTATATATATATATATATATATATAATATATATATATATATATATATATATATATATGTGTGTGTGTGTGTGTGTGTGTGTGTGTGTGTGTGTGGGGGGGGGGGGGATTGTGTTTAAAGGATGTAAATTAAAAAAACGAATGACAGGACAAAATAAAAAAACAGAACAATCAAACAACTGAACCGTTTAGAAAAACAACCAGTTTGGTGTTTGGAAAAATAAAACAAAAAGATATGTTTGGAAAAATAAAACAAAAGAATTACCACGTTAAAGCACAATATTAAAACGTTAGTTTAGCGTTACTTCAGTAGAATTCTTTTGTAAAATAAAAGAACTACGTAACTAATTTCTATACTACACATCAAAATCCCGATCACTATAAGAAAAATCTTGAATTGCTACGGAAAGTTGCTATGGAATCAAAATCCGTAGCTATTTTATTACGGAACATGTTACGGAATGGCTTGTCGTAGCTATTTTTCTATGGAAATAGTTACGAAATTGTATTTCGTAGCTAAATCATAAATAGCTACATAAAGTTGTTACAGAATCAAAATCCGTAGTTATATTACTATGGAATATGTTACACAATGGTTGGCCATATTTAATTTGCTATGGAAATGGCTACGGAATTACATTGTGTCGCTAAACCTTGAATAGTTGTTACGGACTCGAAATCCGTAATTATTTTACTACAAAGTATGATATGTAATTTTTGGTTGTAGTTAATTCGTTACAAAACTTGCTATGAAATTAATATTCTTAGCTATTTGGCTAAAGAATTGGCTACGATATCCAAATCCATAGTTAGGGGGCCATGAAATTGAAACCCGTAGTTATTTTGTTACGAAAATTTTCCACACAATCAAATTATATAGCTAGTTTACTATAGAACTTGTTAAGAAATTATTGAGGGCAGTTATTTGTGTATACGGTTGGTTTTCGAATTTGCAAAATTGTTACGGAATTAAAATCCGTAGCTATTTAGCTACGATGTATTCCGTAGTTAAGTAGCTACGAAGTATGTCTCCGTAGCAAAATATAGAAAATTATTTTAAAGAGAAACTACTAATATTATATATAAAAAAAGATATCGTGGTAATTTAAAAAGGTTATGATACAAAATAATCTCGGATAGCAAACTAGTAATTTTGATTAAACATATAAGTTATTTCAGTTAATATAGTAAGTATATGGGACGATTTAGCTATATACAGTATTACTTTACATAAGTGAAAACTATATATATTTTATTATAATTTATACATTTTAAGAAAAGATTAAATACATCTCATTATATTTTTTACATGATGCAGTTTCCCCAAATCATCGCTCATAGCCTCATACGCTCATTACGTCAATACAGATACCCCCTTCCCCTGTTCCCCCTTTTCCCTCTTTCAGATATATTTCCCTCTTTCAGATATATTTGGAAGCAAAACAAGGCGATCTCGGATGAAAAGGATCATCCTATTAGCGCAGGGGCAGAGTTGATCCATCAGATCCAGTCTAGTAATCGTTCTATTCTCTCCTACCTCAAGCTATAACGGTACTCTTTTCTCTCTCTCTCTCTCTCTCTCTCTCTCTCTCTCTCTCTCTCTCTCACACACACACACACACACATTACTTCAATTGTAGTCCAGTAAGTTAATTGAGTTGGGTTTATACATCAGATTCATGTTAAAATTGTTAGATAATCATTTTTTATTCAATGCACACTGAATAAGAGTTAAATGTTGCATATATAAGTTGTCGTTATAACGCTATAATATGTAATTTCTTCGGCGATGTTATAGTATAATATGTTTAATAAATCTTGCATGTTGTTAAGAGGGTATTTTGGGAATTATGATGTAGGTTAGCCATAGTTAAGCATAGAACTCAAAGATTTTTACTAGTTGGTATACCATCATCAGGTCAGCAATACAACTGCTACTGGTAAATATCTTCCGAGATTTGGCATTCTATTTTGGTTGGATGAAACGTCACTGGGTCTCATATAAATGAAAGAAGAGTACGGGGTGAAGAGGACAGAATCAATGATTCCGAAGACAGTGAGCCTTTCAAAGAATTATTCGATTCCGGTTCTGAGAACGAATCACCCGATTTAGAATGTCACGTAAATGTTTCCAATTTATCAACAAATAACCAAAAAATAATGGATTTAACCTCGGAAGTCGATTCGGTTTGTGAAATTACCACCTCTGGCATCAATAATACCAATTCCAAGAAGTTTCTGTTCCAACTGTGTCTCCTGAACTTTCAGATCTTCTTGAGAAAGCTCTTGAGCTTAAATTTGGTGCAACATCAGCGAAAAAATACGGGTTTGATGCTTTAGAAACGAAATCTAAAAATAATAATGAAGAAGAGAAGGAACGGTGAGTGAAAAAACGTATCTTTCAGAAGTTGAAAGAAGAAAGCTGATGAAAGGTCAAACACATAGTGAAGGTGAAGATGGTGGTAAGTAAAAAAAGAAGTGAAAAAGAGAAAGGAAATTATAAATCATCCACAGAAAGAGAAAGATGTTCAAAATGGAAATGTGTACTTTTTTTGATTTTGAAATATGTATTTTTTTTTTATTTATTGGATATTTCTTTTAGTTTATATAAAAATACTTTGTTACTTTCAGTATTATATTATTTGTATTTTTATAGATTGATATAGAAAGTCGACTTGAATAACCGAATTTACTGAATAATGATATGGAAAAATTGCTACGGAATTGGCAACGATTAAATTGCTACGGAATTCGTTACGGAAAAATTGCTATGGAATTAGCTACAAAAATATTGCTACGGAATTGGTTACGGAAAAATTGCTATGAAATTTGCTACAGAAACATTGCTATAGAATTTGTTACGGAATTTGCTACAAAAACATTGTTACGGAATTTGCTACGAAACTCAATTTGCAACGAAATAGATACTGTAGAAATTGTCATAGCAAAACCGCTACGAAATTATAATTTTGTAGCTAAACATTTTGCTACGAGGAAAAAAACAACGAAATCACGTGAAAATTTTAGTAGCAAATTCCGTAGTTATTCAGCTTTAGCTACGAAATTTTAACTTTTTGCTATGGAATTTATCCGTAGCTAAATTGAAATTTTCTTGTAGTGGATGTTTTTGCTTATTTTTAAATCTTACAATAGAAAATTAAAAGAAGTTCGTATATACCATTACCAATTTGTATCAACCAAACTTGTTGGTAGCAAAATAAATTGGTACCAAGTATACTTATACGGTACCGGTAGCAATTTTTTTATACCAATTATAGTTGGTACGGTACACGGTTTAAAGAAAAATGAATTGGTACCGCACCAATTTCACCTCTACTAGAAACAACACCAAGCTATTAACTATCATCGGGACCGACCCAACAGGGGTACATGTAGGGCGACGTCCCCGAGCCTTGTAACGGCTTGGGGCCCCAAAATTAACTCTTTTTGATGAGTTATTCCACTCACACCTATAGTTTGCAAATTGGTGGAGTACGGTAGGGGCAGAGGGAATTTCCGGTGGAGCGGTGAAATGCGTAGAGATCGGAAAGAACACCAACTGCGAAAGCTTTCATAACGTTAAAAGATGGATATAGGATTTTCAAAAAAAAGTTAATCAATGATAAAAAAAATAAAAAAAGTTGTTGGTTTTAGTTGTAGTGTTCTAATATTTTTTGTGTTTTAATGTGACCGATATAAATAGTGGTTGCAACATAATTTTAAAAATAAACGAGAAGTCAAAATATTGTTTAATTTTCAATAAATAATTAATAAAATATTGTATTCTATGCATTGGAATTTTTTTTTAGAATGGTAAATAGTAATTTTTCTCATATCCATTTACCAACCTTACTAACAATAGTGGATCGGGCCATTTAATTATTTAGATATCTAATGGTTCAACGCTAAATCATTAAGTTTCTACCAAACAATCTTTTATTTGTTTATTTATTTATTATTATTATTTTTTTATATATCACTTTGTTATATTACCTGCAATGTTTCATTCTTTTAATCGACACATACACCAACCAAATTTATTCAAATTTTCATAAACCATAAACCCATTTTCTATTTATTGGTCTTCTTTATCCTTGTTTAGATAATGTATTTCATCTTCTTCGTGTCTTGCTTGGAAAATAAGGGCTGAGATGTAATTACCTTTCTCTTGGTTTTACCTTGATTTAACTCCTATGATTATGTTTATGTCACTTTGTCGTTAATGTTTATGTTAAGCATGTACTACTGTGAACATGAATATTATATGTTTCATGTTATGTTGCTTGCGGGATTTATCCTATTTATGTAATGGTCAGACTGAATTTGTTAAAAAGATTTTAAACATTGGACCTTAAGGGCTTTGATCATTCTAAGGGGGGAGGGTACCATGCACGGGTTTGGAAATATGTATGGGAGGTACCGCCGGTACCCCCAAGGAGCCATTTCTTATTCAAAGGTTTAATAGTTGTGGGTTGAATGGGTTTAATAAACGGCTTCACTAACCCGATCCTCATTTTCAATTCAAGCAATAGTCACTTTGTGCATTATGCATCAAAACTTGTACCAATACAATTTTATATGTTTTTTAATTATTTTCTAAATTAGTTTGTATATTTTTAATATTATGTAAATTAGTTTTGTATAATTTTTATTAGTTTGTGTTTATTTTAAAATAAAAAATTAAGTGGATTGAGTGGGTTGGGAAAGATAGGATTTCCATGTGTTGTGGGTTGAGAAAGATGGAAAAGAGATGAGAGAGAAATGCTGATGTGGCGCTGATATGGCAGTGGGTTGAATGGGTTGGGAGGGTTGGACTCCCTCCACCCTAAGTTGCAATCGGAACATGGGTTGTAGGTGGTGTTTGTTTTTTATCTGCAAATGTTCTTAACATCTTTTGTCTGCGCCGTACAGACCACACGCAAAGATTAGCTTCACAAAAGATTTGTTTTTTAGAAGACTGTGTGTACCTAAAAAAATTGGATTAGAGTCTTCTAATTGTAATTGACAACAAAAAAATGTTGTTTTAGCCATGTTTTTGTTTTGATAAAGACCTAAAGTTGAGATTTGTTTCTATTTTGGTCTTTCTGGTTGTAAAATGACTTCTTTGCCATATAAGAAAATTAATCAAAACCGTATGGTTAAATCCATAAAATAAAATTAACAAAAAAAACTGCCTAGGTATGAATTTGTACAACAACTTTTTAACAAGAAATCTTAAACGTTTGGTATTTAATTACAAAAGCAATAAAAATCATTACTTCAAGAAATGTCGTTCACATATAAACACTACTAAACCTCATAATCAAGCAACAACCTCTCAATATTTAAATAAATCTAAAGTAATACCAGAAAAAAATCCGATTGACATCTAAGCAATTACTTCGTTTGAATAGATAAAAATATTTTTGAATTAAAATGAAAAATGAAAGTAGATATACACGTTTTTTTTTCCCGCAAATAAGTGTTTTCTAAATGGGCCTTTACTATTACAGTATAGTAGTATGTAGGGCTTGCTTTTCATGGGCAGCCTATGTTATGCTGTTTGTGGGCCGGGCGGCTAGCTGAGCTCTCCACGAAATTTACACAAAAAATAATAATAATAAACGCTGAATTCCGACTACAGTACAGAGGTGCCGGTCACTGTGAAACTGAAGCAGAAGCAGAACACTAAAAGCCCCAAATTTAAGCGTACTGTTGATAATATTGATAGCAAGTCTCTCGTCGAAAATTCGATATTATCTCTCTCAAATTTTATGTTTTTCTTAGAATTAGAGACCGTCTTCCGAAATTAATGAAGAATAACTTATTCTAATTGGTTAATTGATGCTATGTGAGACTCTTAGTTTCATTTATTGTTGTATATTCGACTCTACAACGCTTATAGATCTCATGATCATGTTCAGTTAGCTATAAGAGAATGTATCTAATCTAGCTGTTTTTTTCTGGACGCCACTCTTAGATTTTAAGATCAGATCAGGTTAATCTGTCTAGAACATTTCTTCTTACTCTAACATGGCAACCGGCTACACAATTCATTAAAAGTCTTGTTGTTCTCATTACATTGTCGAATCAACATTTTGTTCTTTTTACATATTTAGTCAAACACTTCATTCTTTTATACTAAGTACATTACATTATATTGTGCAAGGACAATGACATGACTAAACAACTTTTATGGTTCGATGTTTCTGAACTATTCATTCATTAATATATGACAATGAATGGTACTAGTGCTGTTGGCTATTTTATATTGTTTTGTGTGTGAAAATAAAAAATTAATTTGTTTAACATAGTACCAATGCTAGGGAGGTCAAGAAACTGTGGTTGTCCATTCTTTAAATTTGTAGATGTAAAACATTTTAGTATAGACTGATTAATTAAAAGAATTTGTTCAATTATTTTTCAAAATATATGAATTGCAAGTTTGTTAGTGCTACCCTCTTTTTTAGAGTCACTACTAGTGTAGCACTTTTTACAAAATAAATTGTTATTTTTAACAATGTAGGAGACCATGGGTCAAAATAGAAACGGACCAACGTGGCTTGTTTCTAACTAGTTTACAATTTAATTAAGTTAAGTGAGATAAGTTCATTTCATAGTCATTAAATTCTTGGACCCAAATGATATCATATCACTGTACTCATTGATATCTACTATATTTGATTCCATCAGCTCATTTTTGGGGCAATCTGTTTTTCAATTCATCTTTAATTTGTCTTACATTTTCATTGAAATTTCATAGAAATTACGGATTGTAGGCCCCACACAAACAGGCCACCAGTTTGAGGTTGTTCATTTGAATTTTTCGTCTTCACAATTAAGACTATATAAATCCTCATGAGGGGCAGTTTGAATATGCATCACTACCAAAAAATTTGTAAAAAAAAAAATTACAAAGATTTGCATTAACATAATGAATCCGTGTGTTTTTGTAATTTTCTCACTTCTATTGCTAAATGCTGAGACGACAACTTCCAACCAGTTGGGAGGTGGAGATGATAATGGTGTTATTATGAGAAAGTGTTCTGATAAGGAGAGACATGCTCTTCTTGATTTCAAAGCTCGCCTCCAAGACCCCGATGAAACTCTCTCTACATGGAGAGCTGAAGAAGAAGAAGAAGAAGAAGATTGTTGTAAATGGAGAGGAGTCACATGCAAAAACCAAACACATTATGTCACACAGCTTGATGTTGACGGATTTGGTCTTGTAGGTGAGATTAGCAATTCTTTGCTTAATTTAAGCAGTTTGAATCATCTTAGTCTTTACAGAAACTCTTTTCATGGAACCATTCCCACCTTCATTGGTTCCATGACTCGTTTAAGGTACCTTGACCTTGGTCGGAATCATTTTAATGGAACCATTCCCAGGTTCATTGGCTCCTTGACCGACTTAAGGTACCTTGACCTTTCTGGTAACTCTCTTTATGGAACCATTCCTCCAGAGTTTGGAAACCTCACTAACCTTGTAGATCTTTGGCCTGGAATTGGATCTAGAGTTGAGAACCTCGACTGGTTGTCTCATCTCTCTCATTTGGAGTCTCTTGTAATGGATGGGATTTCTCTAGCCAAACAAAATTATTGGGTAGATGTGATTCTGAGTCTCCGGAAACTATCATGGTTAAGTTTAGATGGATGTGAGCTGTCACAGGTCATGTATCCATATTCTTCTTCATTTCTCAACTCTTCTTCATCTATTAAATACCTTTATCTTGGAAACAACAATCTCAACTCATCCATGTATCGTTGGTTGTTCCCATTGACCAGCAATACGCTTGATGCTCTTGATCTCTCTGGCAACATGTTAGATGGGATACCCAAAGATCTTGGTAGCCTCTGTAGTTTGGAATATCTGTCATTCCATAGGAACTCTGTTGTCAAATTTCCTGATTTTCTCAACAACTTGTCGTCTGGATGCACATCGCTTACATTACAAGGGTTGTTTGCTGGACATAACCGATTTATAGGGACACTCTCCAATGAGATCCTAACATTCAAAAATCTTTCCATTCTTGATATGAGCTCTTGCAGTCTAGGGCCTCGCTTCCCCAAATGGATTCAAAAAATCAAAAATCTAACATATATTGATATTGCCAACAATGGAATTTCAGACACGATTCCTCTGGGGTTTTGGGACATGTTTCCTTCTCAATTAACATATCTCAATCTCTCTTCCAACAACATCAGTGGGAACGCACCAGATTTATCATCAAATTTTAACAACAATTCTAGGATAGATTTGAGTTCCAACAGATTTTATGGTTCAATAACAAATATCTCTTCCACTGTCACATCATTAAATCTTTCTAGAAACAAATTCTATGGTGGAATCTCCTTCTTATGCCAAATTGTTCCTGGGTTTTTAGTTGTTCTTGACCTCTCCCATAATTTTCTAAGCGGACAACTTCCAGACTGTTTGTGTCACTTCAAAGAACTAAAAATTCTTAATCTAGAACACAACAATCTATCTGGAAGGCTTCCTCCCTCCATTGCATCTTTGATAAAATTGGAGGTATTGTATTTGTACAAGAACAACTTCTCTGGAGAATTGCCTTTGTCTTTAAAGAATTGCACAAGTTTAAGTTTTTTGAATTTGGAGGCCAACAAGTTTTCTGGTAATGTGCCTGTTTGGATTGGGGAAAACTTATCAAGGTTGTATGTTCTTAACCTAAGATCAAACTCGTTCTTTGGAACCATCCCTTTACAGTTATGTCAGTTGGCTAATCTTCAAATTCTGGATTTGTCACTGAACAATCTCCTTGGAACCATCCCCTCGTGTTTGGATAATCTTACAAGCATGGTTCACGCAGGTTTATTACCAACACATAATGTTCATTCTTATTCAATGAAATTGTTGTCCTCAAGATATGGTGTTTATGTTGTACTTCATGATGAGTATGTTGACCATGCAATGATGGAGTGGAAAGGATATGAACGCGAACTCACCAGTACTCTGGGATTGTTAAAGAGCATTGACTTGTCAAGCAACAACTTAACAGGACAAATCCCATATGAAGTTACCAATCTTTATGGACTGCGTGTACTCAACTTGTCAAAGAATGGTCTATTTGGAGAGATTCCGGAAAAAATTGGTCAAATGGAACAACTTGAAACTTTGGATTTATCTAGAAACAACTTGTCTGGAGAGATGCCGTTAAGCATGTCTAGTTTGAATTTTTTAAATCATCTAGACGTGTCATATAATAGCTTGTCAGGGAGAATTCCATCCAGCACTCAGCTGCAGTCTATTGAAGCTTCAAGATACTATGGAAACACAGGACTATATGGACCTCCCCTTACCAAAAAATGTGATGGAGATGAAGAATCAGAAGCACCACCTGTCATTGGTGAGAGGGAGGATGGTGGGGAAGACATAGATGAACTTTGGGGGTGGTTCTATATTGGTGAAGGCACTGGTTTTGTTACTGGATTCTGGATTTCATGTGGTGCTCTACTTCTCAACCGTCGTGGGAGACATGCTTTTTTTCATTTTTATGATAGATTCAAAGATTTGGTTTATGTGAAGGTGATGGTGTTCTTTGCAAATCTGCAAAGGGTTGAACATAGATAGTCTTGTAAAATCATGCTTCATTTCTATTTGACAGAATTTTAACTTTTAAGTCCCTATTATCAATAAAATTACCACCAACACCATGGGTGGCCTTTCTCCATTTGTGTCAACTAAGGCAACCTGAAAACTTTATATTTTAAATCTATTTAATTAATGTTGTATGTTTTTAATGAACAATTTTATAGGACAAATCTCAATGTAGGTTATCTGTGGAAGTGATACTAAAATATGGTCCATCCATATACACTTGTTACTCACATGCTTTAACTTGTGGTTAACTTACAAAATATTGGCTAAACTGGACTAATAGATCGATAAACAAATAACATGAACTCTAAATTTGGGATTTTCATGATCACTATAGACTTTCTATGAAAGCAAGATTTGGTTATATACTAGAATAATTATGTCTTTTTGATTGAATTTAATTGGCATACATTAGGTTTAATACGGTACTCCTCTAATTAGAGTATATTTCATACAGATTATGAGATTAAGATGTCTTTCTATGTATTTTCTCAAATTAAACTTTATGTTATAAGGTAAGAATGTTTATTAAAAAAAATATCCAAATTTCAAGTAACAATTACATGTCTTATTAGAAAGCCGTCATTCTAGTTATTATACCAAAAATGTTATTACTATTATTTTTTTTCATTTTTATTTTATATTAAAAAAAATTTTAATTTACAAAATAATCACAAAAACAATAATCTTAAAATGGTTGATTTTACAATTTAGTCCATCATAGTCAATGTTTTAAAAACTGGATCGGTCATCTTAGTTGTTCGATGGTCAAACAGTCGGACCGGTCCAAAAACCCAGATGACATCATTATTATTTATAACTAAATATAAAATTATAAAAAAAAGTACAAAATATGAAAATAACCTCCTTGCAGCCGGTGGATGAAAGTTTCACAAAAAAACCTTCACATATTGTTTTATAAGAAGAGTCCTCTTTACATATTTCTAAATAATATAATGTGATTAATATAATTATAAAAAAGCATGTTAAGAGAGATCAAAGGGCATGTGTAACATTCATTTTGGTGGATAGTTGTGTGTCCCACATTGACTCAACGAAGAAAGAAGTGCACAAAAACCGTATTACCGGACCAAAAAAACCAAAACCAGTCTAAAAAAAGACTGAATCTTTTGGAGACCGGTCTTGGTCTGTTAATGTGCATATGATATTTGTTTCGGTCTTGGGCGTTGTGATTGTAAAACAACTTGTCTACCTCAAAAGGAAAATCAATCAAAATGGAGTGGTTAAACCCATAGAAGAAAAACGCGCAAACAAAAAACTACAATGGTATGATTCGTAGAGTAACAGTAACACACATACAAAAAAAAAATACTATTTCAAGAAAAGTTGTATACATATAAACCAGTAAATCCAAGATAATCAAGCAATCATGACCCAATCATCAATATTTAGATAAAATTAAAGCAATAACAAAAAAAAATTCTAAATTGTCATCTTAGAAATTAATTGGTTTGAACCGATAAAAATATATTTAGAAAGTGGAAGTAGACTTACTTGACAAAATCATTGCCCATAATCATTTTAAAGAGTTTTTTACTTTTTGTTTTTAAATGGGGTTTTTCTTTGTAGGTGGTAACAGTTTTTTCTTTGCATGTCCCCATTTTTTTGTTGTTACGTAATTGCACTACAAAAAAAATGCCAATTAGTGACGAAAACGAAATGGTCACTAACAATAGAAGGAGTCGTCTCTAAATGATTTAGTGACCAAACTTTAGGTCGTCACTTTTCGTCACTATAGGTCCGTCAGAAAAATTGATTAGTGACCAATTTATAAAACGGGTCACTAAATAGTGACTAAAGTATTCTTGTCACTAAATCTATGACGACCTCTTTTGTCACTAAATGTTGTCACTAATCAATGAAAGTCGTCACTGTTTTATCTAATCAGTGTCCATAAAAGGACGACCTCTTTTGTCACTAAATGTTGTCACTAATCAATGAAAGTCGTCACTGTTTTATCTAATCAGTGTCCATAAAAGGACGACCTCTTTTGTCACTAAATGTTGTCACTAATCAATGAAAGTTGTCACTGTTTTATCTAATCAGTGTCCATAAAAGGTCGTCACTGTTTTATCTAACTAGTGCCCATGAAAGTCATCACTGTTTTATATAATTAGTGACCATAGAAAGTCGTTATTGGTTTATCCGGTTAATGACCATAAAAAGTCGTCACTGATTTATCCAATTATTACCAAAAAAACTGGTTACTGATTTTTCTTGCTATTTCTTGTATTTGACCCATTTGTTCTCAAATTTAAACAAACCCACAATATATAAATTGTTCTCTACTTATAAAAAAAGAAGCTAAAAGAAGGAAATTTCTTTTACAAAGATCTAAATCACTAAAAACTACATAGTTAAAAATGGGTTATATTGCAATTTTTCATTCCATTCCATGATGGAATGAAAATTAACAAAAAGGAAGGAATCACATTTCCTCTGTAATGGCCACATTCCATTCCATAGTGGGGGCTTTTTCAGCCTTAGCCTATGCCCTTTGCTTTAAGTAACATTGCTTCTAACCTTCCTGCAATAAATTGTAACATTGCTTTATGTAACATTGCTTCTAATAGGAATAAATGAAGGTAGGGTGTTATAATCAACATATCAAGATAATCTATGTTGCTTTTTCTTGCATTTAGTTAAAATAATTGAAAGAATAACAAGAGTTGTTGCAGTGTTGAAAGGCATACCTCACATGTAGGCTCTGCACAAGAATAATGGTCCTGCATTCAAGAAACATCAAGCAGGTAAGGATAGAGGACACTCTCAAAGAAGATAATTGAGTAAAAGATCTCAAGACATCTGCATTTCAAAATCATTTAATTGATGAACAACTTGTGTTTATGTGAGGTCTCATTTCAACTAACATGATGTTTTTCAAGCATTTCAAGATTTTTGCAGCTGTCTCCTGCTTAGTAGCTTCACTTAAACAGTTAAATCTTCCAGCAACATGTGTAACAAACACATAAAGCTATTTGAGATTAAAAAACAATAATTGTCATAATATCATTTAAGCAAATATGATATATTCCATCACTATATTTGGTGAATACTTACTATCTCTCGGATCCAAATGGAGTATTGTGTTAGACATACAATTCCACTACCGATTTTGGAGTTGGTGGTGCTGGACCTGCTGCTCACTGCTGAGTTCAGACCTGCAATGTTGTAAATAGAAATGAATGAAAGTAGGATGCTATAATAAACATGTAACAAAAGTGTGTTGCTATTTATTGGATTTACAATATTTATGATAGAATTCGTAAACTGAAATAGAAGAGAAAAAATATATATTAACTATAAAGTAAATATGGATCTTATTGAAGCATCCCGTCTAAACTGGGAAAATATTCAGCTATCCCACAGTCTGCAAGAATATGATATTAGAAATGGTTAATTGCAAGAAATAGCAATGAACTTTTATTCATTTGTTTATTATAGCATCCTACTTTATTGAAATAAATGAATTTATAGCAATCTTATCCCAATACAAAGCAAGTTTTTGTGGTAATTTCAATGTATAAGGTCTTAATAAGATAAAAATTGAAAGTACAATGCTATAATTGTGTCTTTATAAAATATGATGCTTGTATAAGAGCAAAAATAAAGGTACAATGTTGTAATAAACATAAATGAAAGCATGTTGCTATTTCTTGCCATGTAGAAAACCTAAGTACCAAAAGTTGTTCGTCTTGTTTGTGAAAAAAATCATTATATAAATGAAATTAAAAAAATCGTAAAATAATAAAATGATTTACTATTTGACTTGGGAGAACAAATCCTTTTCCATCAACACATTTTTTGGTTATAATATGATATAGACTCTTCAGCGGTAGGGAAAAGCTGCATGAATAAGTGACACTTAATATAGAGTTTGTATCAGGGGTAGTTTAGTAAATTGAGCAGTTGATGTTACCTCGAGATATAAAAGAATATATGAAATCACTAAGCCTATTCTGGCCATTCCGGCCTTACAGTGGACAACGTGCAAAGAGTTTAAAGGTGTATGAGAAAATGATGAAATGGAAATTTGGAATAGACAAGGGAATGGAATGACATCATAAAGATCTAGAGCAGCATTAACAGCACCACTCTCCAGTTCAGGGCTTCCAACTTCTTTCTGTGAATATACAATTAAACTTAAAACCATATTATTACAGTAAAATGAAAAAGAAAGAGAAAAAACATAAATTGATTAAAAAGAACAAATACATACCAGAATTCCTGTAAGAGCAGTAACTTATTGCATAACAAGTGAGAGTTTTTTTTTTCAATTGAAAGTCAAGGTAGATGTCTCTTTTCACTATACTTCCTCGAATGGCATCATATATTTTTTCAACCCTGCAGGAGTGAATATGCAAGCAATGTAGTAAAAATGACATAACTGCCCCTAATTAAAGCCCAACATAAAGTAAACAAATTGACAAAACAAAGAAGTTCTTTTTTTATTTTACCAAATTTTGTAACAACTTATATCCTTCAGTCAATACCATAGCTGAGAAAGGTGAAAAGGAAGATAAAGCTGATTTATTTCACCTTTTAAGTCATACACATATTGAACCTGAGGTTATAAGTTCAGAGGTGGGGAATGAACAGTTAACCAAAAGATTTGTGGATAATGATGCTCAACAAAACGTGTCCAAGCCATTTAAGATGAGTAGCTAATCGCTCATATTCTTGTGTATTGTGTTTGAATGATTTTTATTCCATTTTTATTAGAGGTGGAAATTCCAATCTATTTATATGAAAAAAGGTCAATTTGGGTTCAAAAGTCACCTAGTTATTTATTAGCCTGTTATTTGAAAATTGCAGCCCAAAGAGTCATCAGCTCTTTCTGTATCCAAAAGTAAGTATGCTTTCTTTAAGATTTATGTTGGTCTAAACATAGAGGAAACAATGGTTTTTAGAATAATGACATCATGTTAATAGCATAATCTATAAAAGCATTAGTAATCAATATAACAATCAGAGTTAGGACAACAGCCACCAAAACAGATTTCCAAAAACAGTTTAGTTTACAAAGTTAAGAACTAAATACATAGAGGTAATATACCCAAACTGGCAAATTTTGGTTACCCAAATCATAACAGTTTGAGCTTTTGTATGTGACCTAAACAGATCACGTTCTTAATTGGATGCATCACAAGTCTGATAGCTTAAGGAACTATTTAGGTACATAGAAATTGGAATAATACTTGAGTTGGTTCAAGGTTACTTAAATGTCTGGAAGAAAGTTTGTTTGCAAAATCCAAAAGAAAATGAGTAAAGCTTTATTCCTTTGCTTATCTAGGATACTGTAGGTCAAGTCAAATTAGTGGCATTGTTAAGAGAATGAACTGGGAAGCATTTACAATCGATTTCCTTATTTGATTGAAGAATAAACTACGAGAGGAGCTAGCATAGAACAAATAAACTCACTGTCAAAAGACAAATCATAGAAATTCACAGCCACTTAGAAAGAAAAAAAAAATCGGAATTAAACCTAATAAAATCGGAGTCATAGAAATACACAGAATTGAGAGAGAGAGAGAGAGAGAGAGAGAGAGGGATACCAGAAACGCAATGACCAGAAATGGTAGATGCGATGAATGGAGAAGGAGAGACGAATATGATTTGTCAAAAGACAAATCATAGAAATTCACAGCCACTTAGAAAGAAAAAAAAAATCGGAATTAAACCTAATAAAATCGGAGTCATAGAAATACACAGAATTAATTGAGAGAGAGAGAGAGGGATACCAGAAACGCAATGACCAGAAATGGTAGATGCGATGAATGGAGAAGGAGAGACGAATGGAGATATGACTGCGGTGTACGTATCAGGGTGAATTCTTTTGTATCCGATCAGGTTGATACGGCGATGCGATGCAATTAGGTCAAAACGGCGATGCGATGCAATTAGGTCGAAACGGCGAGGCGATGCGATACGATGCAATTAGGTGCAAACTCTCGTATAGAAGTCGGGAAGAGAGAAATAAGGCTAAGGGTAGGGTTACCACCAGCTACTAAAAAAGTGAAGGCACATCAACGGTGGAACAGGGTACCCGCTTTTAGAACCGAAACCGCCTCAAAACCGTCGATACCGAAACCGAAAACGGTTCCGGTTGCGGTTATTAAAATTTTGGAACCGCCTTAAGCGGTTCCGGTTCCGGTTCTCATTTTTCTGGAACCGTTACCCGCCGGGTACCCGGTCCAATGACTGCCTTACAAAACAATAAAACCATATTTTTGGGTTTAATATAATCAGTAAGCTATGTCTAATTAAATTTAAGAATTAGTATACAAGAAAAACAATAGTATAATTATATGTAAATAAGTAATTAATATTTTAATTATGTAATTCTTGAATGAAGTATCTATGATTTAAATAAGACAAAACTTCAAAAATGGTCCCTGTGGTTTCCGAAAATATCAAGTTTAGTTCCTAAGTTCAAAAAATCTCACAGATGGTCTCTATGGTTTCAAAACTTTTAACAAATGGTCCTTACGCCTAACTCCGTCAGCTTTCTACCGTTAAGTGAGGGGCATTTTCGTCATTTCAATACACAGGGACCATTTATGAGGTTTTCTCTATTTAAAAAAAAAGAAAAAAATATATAATTATTTAATTAAAGGGCCCCACCCCTCTCTCTCTCTCTTAATTAACATAATACCAGTTAACCCTATTACCGGAGAGGGTATTCCAAGACTCGTTACTCTAATCCCTGGCGATGGGATCGGCCCTTTGGTGACCGGCGCCGTTGAACAGGTCTTCGAGGCAATGCGTGCGCCGGTTACCTTCGAGAAATTTGAAGTTCATGGCGACATGAACACGATACCCGATGATGTTATGGCTTCGATTAAGAAGAATAGAGTTTGTTTGAAGGGCGGATTGATTACGCCGGTGGGCGGAGGGGTTAATTCGTTGAATCTTCTGTTGAGGAAAGAACTGGATTTGTATGTCTCGCTTGTGAGCTGTTTTAATTTGCCTGGGTTGCCTTCTAGGCATGAAAACGTCGATATCGTGGTGATAAGGGAGAACACGGAGGGGGAGTATTCGGGTTTGGAGCATGAGGTTGTTCCTGGTGTCGTTGAAAGTCTTAAGGTACATTTGGGTTTCTTAATTTCATTATCATCGCATGCTTGTTGTTCGATGAAATGCCTATGTGAAATTGGCTACTCTTGAACTGCAGTATATTAGTTTCTTTGTGTTGTGTCTGATTATGGTGTCATTTTAGGTGATAACAAAGTTCTGCTCTGAACGCATAGCACAGTATGCTTTTGAATATGCTCATCTCAACAACAGAAAGACTGTAACAGCTGTTCATAAAGCAAACATCATGAAGCTTGCAGATGGTCTTTTCTTGGAATCTTGTAGGGAGATTTCTAAAAGATATCCCAACATCAAATACAACGAAATCATTGTTGATAATTGCTGCATGCAACTTGTTTCAAAGCCTGATCAATTCGATGTCATGGTATGTTAATCTTATCTTCTTAATCTATCATACACCATCATTTCCATTTTTTTACACATTCTTCCTCACTGAATCTTTCAGGTGACTCCTAACCTTTATGGCAACCTAGTTGCAAACACTGCAGCTGGAATTGCTGGTGGGACGGGTGTCATGCCAGGAGGTAAGTACTCTTGTTGCTATTTCTTGATTTTCTTCAATTGAGACCTAATTAATAACAACCATTATGATTGGAATTGTTGCAGGAAATGTTGGAACTGAGTATGCAATCTTTGAGCAAGGTGCATCAGCTGGAAATGTTGGGAATGTTTAAGCGATTCGACGCCTAAAAGAAGAGAACGCAGGTCATCGAAAGCCATTATGAAGTCCTGATAATGAACCTTGCAGACTTCTTCGATCTCAACCTCTTTGGATCTGCAGAAATGATGGAGGTGGTGGAGTCGGGTTTCGGGGTTACCCGAGGCGAAGGTTTTGATGATGAAAGGGGATAAGTCTTCTTCGTTTGATATGGCGGAAGATGAGTTCATCGACGAAGTGAAGATCCAGTTTAAAATGGGTTCTTTTGAGAGAGAGAGAGAGGGGGTGGGACCCTTTATTAAATAATTATATTTTTTTAAATAACAAAAAACTTCATAAATGGTCCCTCTTTTGTGAAATGACGGAAATACCCTTCACTTAACGGCCAAAAGCTAACGGAGTTAGCGAAAATGACCATTTGTTAAAAGTTTTGAAACCACAGGGACCATCTGTGACGTTTTTTGAACTTAGGGACTAAACTTGATATTTTCGGAAACCACTGGGACCATTTTTGAAGTTTTATCTTTAAATAAATTTGATTTAACTCTACTTCATGATTTAGTGGCCACTGTATTCCTTATGGTATTTCCCTAATTTTTAAAAGGACATGCTAAATTTTGTGAACTACATTCATTGACCAAAGAAATTAAATTTGCGTTGATATTGGATGTAAATTATTAAATTGTAATCAAATTTGCTTTGATTTCTCAGTTTATTTTTTATTTTTTACTTCAAACCTCTCCTTACTAATGGAAATTGTTATTGTCATGTATGATATTTATAAAACTTCTATCACCAAGATGTTTTTATTATTATTGATAATCACAATTTCTATGAATAAACAGTGTGCATTGCTCTCTATTAAGGTTATATTAAAAACCGACAATTATAACATAAATATACCTTGTTTATAATTAATGTTTGCGTTTAGAAATAAAAAAATTAGTTGTTAATACAAATTTATGTTTAGAAATGGGGTACCCAGTACCGGAAACGGAACCGGCGGTTCCGGGAGCGGTTCCAATATATAAAGAACCGGTTACACCGGTTCGGTTCCGGTTCCAACATTTCAAGAACCGCCGGTTCCGGTTCCGGTTCCTGACAAATAGGGCGGGTACCCGCCTATGCTCACCCCTACATCAGCCCACATCACCTTCACTACTAACCTACTACCAAACCACTAACTCTTAAAAATGGTTACCACTCCACATCATTTTTTTTTCTTTTTTATATTTTTAAACAATATTAAATTAAATTAAAAAATAATTCAAATAAAACACACATTAAAAACATTAAATTAAAATACATTGCATTAATTTTTAAACACACAAACTTAAATCCTAAAATATTTAAAAAACAACAATAAAAAAAATCATAAATTACTTATTTTTCCTAAAATACTTAAACGACAAAAAAAAATCCTAAATTACTTATTTATCCTAATTTACTTAAAAAAACACACAACTAAAACATAAATATTAGAACCTAATCGTCATATTTAGAACGGACACGTTGTTGGATTTTCAGAAATGTGGCGAGATTTTCAGGGTCGAGATCCGGTTGAGGTTTCGTGTTTATGATTTGAAGATCGGTGAGAGCGAGTTTTTGGCGACGACCTTCCTCTGCTGATTGGTATTTTTTTCTAGAAAACTTAAAGTTTTATCTATGGATTCCACAAGCCCGTCGTCGCTAGTTGCGGTTGCTTTCCCCCTTGAAGACGCCGCCCGTTTTGCTTTGTCCCTACCCGGTGGTCGACGGAGTTGGACTTCAGGCGGACCCTCTTCCTCGGCACCATCGACGTCATCATTGAGGTCTAGCCCAAAACCCGCGTCCGATTCAGAAGTTCTTGTTCTTTTGTTGGAGCCGGTGGTCGAGTCTGAATGCGATGTCTCTGGATTAAGGACCCATTTTGGACCTTGACGGCACACTTCCCACGCTTTTTGGTGACCAAATGGTTTACCGTTGTTGGTCAGTTTGAATTGGTAGCACGCGGTAGATAAAACGTTGAAATCGTTGGAACCACTTTTATGCATATTTTTTAGATTTTCAAATATGTCATTAAACTTTGTGCAAATCGCGCGAAGATCACGCCATTTTCCGTTGACCGCGTAGTAGGACCGATCCATTTTTCTTCCAAGAAGCACGTGAAAGTGGTCCACAACACGATTCCAAAAACTTTCTCCAGATTGCACGTTGCCTCTCCTCGAATCACAGGATATGAAAATCCAAGCTTTTGCTAAAGCTTCTTCTTCTTCTTCAGTCCAAGCCGTTGCTTTCTTTTTCCCTTTTCCTCTTACTTGCCTTCTTCGAGATGATTGTGGTGTTTCTTGGACCATCTCATCGTCGTTGTCGAGGTTGACAGTTTGGGATTGAGTTAATGGGACTTGAGATGATTGAGTTTGGAATTGTGGAGAAGCTTGTTGTTGAAAAGCTTGGAATTGGGGAATGAATTGAGGTTGGGTAAGTTGTTGTTGTGGTCGTTGTTATTGGAAGAATTGTGGGTTGTAGGGAAGGTTAGTGAATAAAAGTTGTTGTTGGATTGGAGAATTCAACAATTGCATATAAGCTTGATAATCACTAGGAGTGTTTGGGGTGTTTGGAGTGGATGGAGTATTTTGGTTGGAATCCATTTTTTTGAAGAAAATTGAAAGAAAGTAGGAGAATTTTTTTTTGAATTGGAAGTGTAAGTGTGAATGTGTAGGTGAAAGTGTAGTGTATATATATATATATATATATATATATATATATATATATATATATATATATATATATATATATATATATATATATAGAGGTAAAAGATGTTATTTAAATTTAATTGTATTTTTTTTTTTGTTTAATCCCTACCCGGTCAAAAGTCAAAAGATTCGTTCAACGCTCCTTTTTCCTTTCATTTCATTGGCTGTCTTCTTCCGTGAAGGGTATCACTCCACAAGTCACATACGCACACCTGGGGCGGTGTTCACGCGTAGGTGAGCTTGCCACCTCAGCCCCACGCGTAGCTTTCCCGCCTCGATACCGTTTAGCCTAAGGAAGGGTAAGATCCATATCAGTGAATCTTGTAAGTTTTTGTTTCACTGGTTGAAAATGTTTTTTATGAATTGATTTTTACACAAAAATGTTCCTTTTACTTTTAATGTTTTCAATTATGCACCAAGTAATAAAGTTTATAAAATAGATGTGTATTTCCATAACTATGTTTTATGCACCAGTAATCGATTAGGGACTATTTATGTGAAAAGCATTTGTACAGGGGCGTTTCATGAATGACATTAATATATATTGTCTATGTTTGAAATCAATGATTTTGAATAGCATTCAATAATATTTCTTATAAAATGAATTAGGTAAGACCATTTTCGTTATAATATTATACCACATGAACCCTTTCCGTGATAAAACATTATTCAAGTGAAATTGATTTTTATTACTTATGACTTTGTTTGTTTAACTTTTAGTCAGTGGCGGACCTTAGTGGGGCATTTGGGGTCCGGGCCACTGCTCAATTTCCTGCAATCAGTGTAAATTTTTTTTTTTTTTTTTTTTTTTTGGTTTTTTCTATTAGGTGCACCCGCTTGAAGTACGAGGGACACCCCTACTAAAACAGTCTGCGTCCGCCACTGCTTTTAGTGACTATTACTTATGGTCACTAATTATTCAATTCATGTCTATTGTAAAAATAACCGGTGACCACTATTTTAATCACTAATACTTGTTATGAAACTAAAAAAAATATTTTACTTTTATTATACGTTTTGGTGACCAGTCAGTGACCACTATCATAGTATTGGTCACTAAATTTAGAACATTATAAAAACTCAGTGACGACTTAAGATGCGGTGACTAAATGATCTTTTTAGTGACCAGATTTTGGGTCGTCACTAAAAAACTGGTCACTAATAAACACTTTTCTTGTAGTGTTGTAATCATTCAGTATGGGGCTTGCATTTAATGGGCCCTGACGCATTTGCCTAGCAAAACAAGTTACATTGTTTGTGGGACACTTTGTATTATTGTTTTTTGGTTCGATGAAATTCAGCTACAGAGGCACAGGTGAGGGTGAACTTATGAAGGTGAAACAGAAGCAGTAGCAGGCAAAAGAGAAATCAGCACTAAAAAAAATCCCCAATTCAAGCTTACTATTGATCATAGCTCATATCTTCTCCAATATCTCGTAACATGTTTCTTATTTTTTGTAAATTTAAAGGCCGCTTTCCAAAATTCATGAAGAATAACCCGTGTTCATTCGTTTTATTGATGCTATGCGAGACTCTTAGTTTGATTTACTTTATATATTCCATATTATAACTCTTGTATATATGTCTATTGATATGTTCAGTTAGCTATAAGAGAATGTATGGATCTAATCTAACTGCTTTTCTTAATGTTTCTAGTAGATTTTAAGACGGGATCCAATTTTAAGATCGATTTGGTTATCAAGAAGGATGATTTCTTATGTTATAGAAGAAGTTGTATTAGTGTCCCAGCCTGTCTAGAGTGTTTCTTCTCCCTCTTTCAGGGCCACACCCACCACAAATACTCAAAACTCTTGTTATCGTTACATTGTTGAATCACCATTGCATTCTTTTTACATTATTAGTCAACACTACATTATTTTCTACCAAATACATTTTGAGTTGTTCATATTCTGCAACGTTCATAACATGATTAAATTTTATAGTTAATTAAGATGTCATTAAAATGTTAAAAAGTTTAGTATAGATGGTTAATAAAAAGAATTCATTTAATTTTTCTAAAATAGTCAGATTATGATCTAGTTGATTATTATCTCTAGATTGAATATAATCTTTAGGAATTATCTCCTAGATTAGGGTTATCCTTTTTGAACTAAGATTAGTTTTAATTTCCATAAGTATTTATGTTTTCTAGCTTAGAAATTTCTGGAGATTGTTTGCTAAAAGCTTTTGTAATTGGCTTTTTTCCCAAGTGCAAGAAATAGCAATGTACTTTGGTATCAATAAATGCATGTTGATTTGGTAATTGTGTTTGTAATCGTGTTTTTGTCCCAAAGGAAAGAAATAGCAATGTATTTTGGTGTTTCTTGTATTTAAGGTTCTTTAGCACAAAATAAGTAGAAAGTAAGCTACCATTTCTTGTAAAATAAGACTATTTAATTTCAAAGTCTCATATTGTGACATCCCCATTTTTACGGCCAGAAAAGACCGATTTGTTT